GTTCAGTTTTGTTTGATAATTTTGTTAAAAAATAGTTTTGTATTATCTTGGGTGGATAGTTGATTTATATATTTCTTTTTCCTGATTTGCTCTTTCATTGCCTGCCCTGGCACCTCTCTGAGACTTAATAATCACTTTTTGACATGTCAGCATGCTGGAGTGTAGAAGATTTAACTTTAAAAACAAAATTATGTCCCAGTTAAAACTTCCCCTCAAGATCTTGGGAAGAATTTCTCCCTCCTTTGGGCGCAAATGTGGGTCAAAAAGCAATTTGGTTTTTTTATATTTCTGGAAATCCAAAATCACAACATGTCATTCTTTAAAGGCAGCTGTGGATGCACACTGTGTTCTATCTATAAGAAGACCCGTTTTCTTCTAGGATAATTCTGTGACAGACGAACGTGTGTATCTTCAGGGAAACCCCAGAACACTTCGCAATAGTGAGGGGTGAGAAGAGAGTCTAGTGTTCTCCAAGTGGGCATGGTTGGTAGAGAGGGGAGTGTCACACCATCATAAGAAGACTAACAATATCATGAACTCTGGAAGAGCGTGTAACAGCACAAGCCCCCTGTGGCCCTGCCACTACTCCCAGAGAGTCATTGCAGTCGAAACAAAATTTCATGTCACTACGTCAGTACTTTGTTTGTTCCCAAAAATTTCTGCAAATTTCAAATAAAGCAAAGGCCCCTTCCTCTTGCCTTACTTACTCTTCTACCATCTGTAGCTCCCAATTACACATCCTTTTGCCCAAGGGGAATAAAACCTTACCAAATTGGCGTTTAAGGTTGATTACACAGTTGTAATATTTCACAATCAAATCACGAAGGAGATTCCCCCTAATCTTACTGCTTTATCGATCATTGCCTTGCTCTATTTTATGATAACACCAAGTGGAAAGTGAGCAGGACTTTCCTGCTTAAAAATGTTGTACAGTCAGGCCAACTTACAGCAATCACTTGCACAAGGGGACTGTTATCGGCTGTTGACCAATTCTGGAGTTCATTGGTACTTGGGACATATGTAGGATAATAACAATATTTTCCATTTACTGGACATTTTCTGTGAGCTTTTTTTGTTTGATCCTTTCAACAACCCTATTAGGGTATTATTGCCTCCTGTTTTCTTAGCTCAGAGAGGCTCAGTGACTTACTCAAAATGACCCATTAATAAACAAGAGGGAAAAGAATCCACTCAAGTGCACCTTGGCATCACCTAAATGCTGTGATCTTCCATAAATGGGAACCTTTTCCGTAGAGATTAGGGAGGCCACTACCACATCCAAAGCAGATCATTACCCAGGAGGCCCTTGAGTTGGAGACCTAAAACAAGATGGTGAAGGGACAGTGGGAAGCTGATTCTACCCAGTGTCGAGTGGGTTAGGAAGATTTCACAGAAGAGGAATGGAAATGATGCTGAGGGAATGGGCATTTTAAGTAGAGGTTGTACAACAGGAACAAATACAAGGAGGTGGGGCATGATAAAAATGCCAATTTGATGCAGAGTTTGTGTAGAGAATTGATGAGAAAAGATGGATTGTTAAAGATTCAAATGGCAGAGTTTGTTCTTAAATGTCATGGGGTGTGACTGAGTGTTGAGGGTACAGAGCCCTTGGAGAGATATGTTTGATGATTCTTTGTATTCGATGTGGGAGAGAATGGAGTCAGAACAAACAGATAGGAGGTTATTGCAGTAGAACGGAAGCCTGAGCTTGGTTGAGGCCAGGCCCAAGATAATTAGGAAAGGGCACAATTTGGCACTGTGCGTGAAAGAACTGTGGGTAGACAGAGGGACTGACTGGGAGGAGGACAAGAAAGGACCACCATATTTGTTACTCTAGAGTGTGAGAACTACTGGATATGGTTTTGCTCCCATCAGTTTGCAACCCTTTCCTTCTTATTTTTTATAAACTTGCTCCTCCTCTGCATTTTTATTTTATTGCTTCAGTTTGTTCATTTACTCAAAAGATACTTGTGAGTGCCTCCTATGCTCCACATTCCAGACCTGGATGATTGCTGTGTGTGCATCCTGCTAAAAATACAAATATACACAAATGAAACAGTTTGTGCAACTCTCAGGAACGCCTTAGTTACAAGTGGAAATCGATCCCTTTTTAGCATGTGCAGACAGAAACCATTTTAGTTGAGGCTTTGGTAATATAATTTAGCAATCAGAACCAATCAGCATTTGACACAGTTTCATACACAATGATTTTAAGAAATTAGTGATGCCAAGACTAAAGCAACAGGTGCTAGGCTTTTCTATATTTTGGGAAAGCTTTGTTTTGCTATTGGGTAAGCTTCTGAATCCACCACTGTAAACGTGGTTTAGCTAGGCATCTGAAAACTTAATGACCTTATTCTTTTGGTTATAACTGTTTTGGGTGACATTGTCTCATAAATTACGTATTTGGATGGCAGACATCCTTACAATGGATCGTGGTGGGGAGGGAGAGTTCATTAATACCCAAACCCTTTTTTTAAAAGATTATAATTCTAGGAAATTTTACTTGATTCAGGGGTTTTTTTTCCTGACCACCTTGTCAGTGTAGTTATTTCCCAAAATGGGGAATGAAAAGGAATTTAGTTTTGTCTCGATGAGTAGTTAGTTAAAGCGAACTTAAACACTATTAATATTTTCCTTTAACACTTCAAATGTACCTTGAAAGTTAGAGTTCCCAATCAGTTAATATTTGGGGTGGGGAGGAGTGGAGGTTTCACCAAAATATACTTAACAAAATTAAATTGAAATCACATATTGACTATGATTAGAGCTTGTTTGCCTCATAGAAAAGTTTTATTTAAAATACATCATGACCAAATGCTTAATTATCAAAATAAAACAAGAGACATAAAGAATTACAGGCTTCTAATATTTTTTTTTCAGCCCCAGTTCCCTTTGCACGGTTATCAACATGTTTAATTTCCATGCATAATGGCACTAGTTATTGTTGTCATTTGTAAAGGGAGATTAACAGATAGTAAGTACAAACAAACCCAAATAAGAATTGAATAGAGAGGTGACAAAGAAGAAAAGACCTCTTAAACGTTAATTATAACTGGTAGGAAGTCTAGACAAATTATATTATCTCTTTTCTATATGATTTGAAAGGATATTTAGTTAGTAACTCTGTCAGAGATAGAGTTAGGTGTTTGCTTTCAAAACAGGTGATATGACAACTTAACATCTCCCTGGTTGGCAGCTCACCTGGTGAGTCATGAAGTTACAGTAAATTGAAGGAATCAAGTTTTGAAAATAACTTTTAACTTTTTGAATGTTATAGTTTGGAAAAAATTAAATAACCTCTGGCTTGTATTCTTGTACTGAATTACTTAGTGTTTTGGGATATGATAGTGTTACCTGCAGTGTTACCTACCTGCATTTTTGTTGTTACTTACTTTAAAAAAAAAAATAAATACACTTGAATTGCTCATGACTGGTTGGCAATATTTACCGCTTTGTCTTCCAAAATGGGTAAAACCTCAAATACGAGATAAAATGTAACAAACTCACATGAATGAAATGATGAAGGATTGGTTCAGTCCTGCCATTGTCATACGTAGTTTGCTTATATTCTACTATTTGCTTTATTCCTTTTTCTAAATGGGTATTTCCAAAAAAACTGGGCTCTATCCATTCATTTGTTGATGAGCACTTGGCTTGTTTCCACCTCTGTGATAAACATGGTGTGCATATATCTGCTTGGACACACGCAATATTTAATATAATCCTGGCCATACATACTGACCAGCAGAGTTTTAGAATCTCTTTTAAGTAGCATCTTTTCCCCACCCCCCACCCCAAGTAAAAAATTTCATCAGTACATTCCTGTCTGTGAAAGTTATCCATGACAATTGGAAGACATGCCTCTGTTTCCTGGAGCTTGCCTGTGACTACTTCCAACAAGAGCCTGGTCTGGGGAGTGAGGCCAGGCGTCCCTCATCATTGGATGACAATGATAGAGTAACACCAAGTGGAAACTTTAATAAGTACAGACTTAAGTACCTAAGGGATTAAGCAACACTTGTGTTTCTACTTCTTTATTTAGAGAGTAAGGACCAAGAGGTTGTCTGTCATTCGAGAAATTAGGGTTATAAATATTATTGGCCCCTTTCTTAATTTTATCACAGTGTAGCCCTTTTTGGCCCTCAGTCTTGGGCATATGTTGTTCTTTTCTGCATAAATTGTCTTTCTTACCTTTTCCACCCACCAGCTCTCTATTCACTTTCTAAGACCCATAGCAGTCAGGACCATGCTGCTCCCAAGTTGTGAAAGTCAGACACAACAGAATGCCCTTTTGTTTGCCTTGTATTTGACTTGTACATGTTATAGGAGGGGAAATCAAGAGTAGCAAGAGAATAACTTAACAAGGAGGATTCTAAAGGACAAGAAGTTAGACAATGGTTGTTTCCAACTGCTGGGGACAAAACTGTCATTGAAAACATTACAACCTGTTTTATGCCTCTAGAGAATGTATAAAGAAGAATCTGTTTTAATGTTTCATATAGTGATCATTTGTATGTATTAAGTGTTCCTTTTAAACATGCTAGGTGCTTAAATCATACATCCTTACAATCCTAGGAAGTAAGTCCTATTGTCATACCAGTTTCACAGAGAAGGTGATTGAGCCTAGACATTAAGTAAATACCCTTAATTACTTTATTAATGGTCTTTACTGGCTTATTTTTCTGCCAAAGTTTTTCTTGGAAGGTATTTGGTGTATGGCGGGGTGCATTTCTTTCAGTAATAGTTTATAGAAACTCCTGTGTTGATTGGTTTGTTTTGAGGTTCCCCCCCTTTTCTTTTTTTTTACTTAATACATTTTCTAGCTTTTGTTTTAATACTTAAGATAGCCGGAAAGAAAGATAGCTTTCTCCTTTGAGCATTTTGAAGGAATGCTTGAACATATATCTCTTAATAGTAAAAAGGTTGATTTTTATTTTTATTTGGTAGTGGTGATTATAAGACTGATTCCCTCCCCCACCCTCCCATTTTCTCTCCAGGGCTGGTTGATATGTGAGGAGCAGACATGTCGGAATCGAACTCGGCATCTTCCCCTTCAGTTCTCCCGAAATGGACCTCTATGCCAAGCCTGCATGAAAGCTACACTGAGACCGGAGGTAACTGTCTAATAATGGGAAAGAAACATACAGAAGAGGGTGGGGAGCTGTATATGCCTGTCACTTAGCTCTAAGAAGTAGATAATTGATATTTTCCCCATGAAGACACCCCACAACCACAAGCATATATTTTAGAATATACCAAACTTCAAAAAGGTGAATACTTTACTTTTTACAAGTGAAACTGACTGGTTTTCCTGGGTTACTCTTATATCTTTGGTTGTCACTTAATAACTCCCAAGAAGCCTTTACTTTCTAAAAATTACTGTCATCTTTGCACTTGATCACAATCCCTTTTGTTAGCGCCAGAAAATATATTCCAAGCTTGTTTCCTAAAGGATTTATTTTTATGTGAAATTTTTATTTCACCCCTTCCTCAGTGGAATTATTTTGTTTCCAAGAAACCAAATTGAACAGTAGTTCTCAAACCTTTTTCTCTACTTTAATACACTCGAAGGATAAGATATAATATTGTCAGTTTTTATAGCACTGAGTCTGGAAACCTCCTTGATCATACCTTACTTCTGATAGAACCATTTGGGCAACATTGACATGGAGCAACTTTCCTCAAAATCTCGTGAGAGGAAATGTTTGTAGATATTCCATGGAAAGGAGACTTTGTGATCCAATACTTACAGCAAATGTTGGCTTGACCAAAGTTAAGCAAGGTTCTTACCTTTGCAGACCTTCTCCACACCTCTGATAGATCACCAAATGACGCCTCTGATGTGCCTCACTTTGCAAACTTACCTGCCTCGAAAATTCCAAGATATTTTTTTAAATGTAAAGAGAGTAAGAGCCAGAGCCTGTTGTTTATTCTTTTCATATTGAATATGAATATAATTGAATATTCTTTTTTTATCTGCAGATACAGGATTCTGTAGCCATGTTTTCACTTTTAATCTTTTGATTTAAAATAGTCAACACACAGTTTAGCTTTAGGAGAACGTTTTATCAGAAAAGTTTAATTAATGATTTTTCCTTTTGAGTTTAAGACTGTATATGATTTCACAAAATTTGGCAGGCGCTATAAAACAGCCACTACCATTTTTGTGTATTGCTCTGTTCTCTTGCATCATTTTTTAAAGCCTTTCCCCCACGTTGCTATTTCATTTTCAATACCAAAACTTGTAAACACAAATTTCACCATTCTCCTCCTGGTGGATATTTTTGGTATTTTTGAAGTCTTTTTAGCAGAAAATTATGATACTTGTTTGCTTAAAAGACGTTTTCACCTTCATTTGGAATATTTATTTAGCATAAATTCTCACAAGCAATACATTTCCAAGTTCATAGGACATTGTGGCTTTAATTCACATTGTCACATTGCTTTTTTAAATTAGTTCTCCCAGCTTAAAACCTTACACCACTGCTTCAAGAGTATATTGGTTTTACCATGGCCTAGTCAACATTTGAGCATTAGCACTAATTTATTTTTAACTCATTAAATTAATGGAAGAAGTACTTTGCCTTAATTTCTTCAGAGCAAAAGAAAATGAAAAAGGACTGTCAGGAATGAAAAACAGGGCTGGCCCTGGAGTGAAATACTTAAATAATATTATTTTTTTATTAAAGAATATTTTTTAGAAATAATTTTTTATTGTGATTTTAGAAAAGTTCACAGAAAACTTTGATTTCCATTCGTTCATTGCTGTGTATTTTTCTTCCTAGCCCCCAGTTCACTTTTCTCGTTAAAAAATTAATTGTTGCACAATTTCCTCCCCACCCCCAAACATTTTTTTAAATAAGTAACTTGTCTTATTTTTGTATCTTTGATAATTAGCAAAGTAATATGTAGATCTTTTTTAAAATGCACAACATAAAGAAGGAATTAACTGTGTTAGAGAATTCTTTTCACATCAGGTAAATTCCTCTCACCCCAAGATTGACATCAGCAGGTGCAGAAAAAGTGTACATGTTTAGTGTGATTCACCACTGCAGTTGTGGAGTTGAGGGGCATCACCTTAATTTTTTAATTGATGCTACCTTTAAATTTTTTAAAAAATACTTAATGCATTGGGTCAGATTTGATGAACATTGAAGTACTTCTTAAAAAGTCAGCCAGTTAGGATTCCATTCTTGGTGAGAAAAACTAAAAGAATGTGTAGTTGTTAGATCTTCCAATAAATATTGATAATGTTGCAGGTAGTGGTTTAACACCTCAGGTTATTTTTATTACTCTCCCCACCCCCACCCCCCTGTCGTTGGTTGGTGTTTTTTGTTTGTTTTTTTAAAATGAGCCATCCTCAGTCTTTAAAGTGACTAGTCTTTCCCTCTTTTTTTCCCTTCTCAAAACATTTTAGGTGAGCATTTACCATGATTAGCAGCTTCTTTTCGGAGCTCACTTAGATTATCTCTACAAGTCATTTTGCTGCTCAGGACACAATGCTCTGGGTCAGAACATTCCTAGCCCATGTCCATAATACCATCCTTAGCTCTTTCTTACAGGGGCCTTGACCCTTAAACTCACCCCCTCTTTCATATGTCACTTTGAATTACTAGTATATCAAACTGAATTATTTTCAGTATATTGAATTACTCATATATCACTGAGGGAAAACTTAATTCATAGATTTATCGGGTTCTTTTTGTTTTCCTAACAGAAAAGGAGGAATCTACATCTTTCTAGGTATGTGAGGAAGCACCAAAACCATTTGTACGGTGGTCAGAATCATTACTACTATGTCTCCATCACGTATTCTTTTTATTTCCTTATTCTTTATTGACCACCTGTATTCCAGGCATTTTAGTAGATTATAGAGATATAGCAGGGAACCTCACTTGGCTTATTCTATGGGGAGTTGAGCTGCTAACCCAAAGTCACCCCACCTTTTCAGTGGTTCACATCAGCCAACGGCTCCCAGTGAGAAAGATAGGAATTCTCTTCCCGCACAGTTTACAGCCTCCTAAATACAATGGAGGGTCAGTCAAGGTTCAGTTCTAACTCGATGGTGAAAAGGAGGGACAGAGGGACATAGCAATGAAAAGGATTTTACCTTATTTATACAACTAGTTTTAACATGTAGATAATATAAAACTGGTGTCTGTGGGCAAAAAAGTAGGCATTTGTAATTGTCTGGACAGATTACCAGGCTTTCCTACTGCTTGGCTAGCATGATCTTTAAATACATTGCTCCAATTTGAGGATAAAGCGCTAGCCTTTTAATGTGCCAGTCTCCTCATCACATAATGGTTCTGCTCCCATTTATGTGTCGCAGTTGGCTTGAGTACTTTCCAGAATTGACTTGGAGTATGAGGCTGGCTGGCTCTTCTTCTGGGTCATGTTGCCAGATATGAGAAGAAAGCTGGGACAGTTTTGCTTCCAGGATTTAAACAGTTGTCTTTGCTTAGATACTTTTAAAAAAAGAGTGTGTGTGTGTGTGTGTGTGTGTGTGTGTGTACACACACACATACGTATGTAAGGCCATTTTAGGCACTTTGGAATGCAGCAATACACAAATTAGTGCTTTATTAGTAAATTGTTCTGGAGGTCATTTCTGCTGTACTGTGTTTAATTAGCAAAGTGAAAACTTGGGTGCATGTTTAATTCCTCAATAGATAGAAGAACCCTTTGTAACATTAGTGCTAGAGACAAGACTTAACCCAGATTGTAGGGGAAATAATGTAATTTCACATTATTTTAAGGATATGGTTTTAATATGAACAAACTGTCTGGACATGAACCAAACCACAGGGAGGATTATGTATTATGTGAAATACATGAAAAATAATGCAGAACTAAGATTTCAACTCAAGTTCAACTTCACATTAATATATGAAGATATATTAATATAAAGAGGTGAGAAATGTCTGTACGTGAATTCCTAGGCCAGGATAGAAATGATTTGTGAAATTGTATAGCCCCTACGGAACAGAGCATTGTGGCAGATCCCTTTATTCAATTTTCTATTCATCTCCATTTCTTAACGTCCAGTTATGATGAGAGCAATGAAATTACTTCTAGTCCTACTTTGGGACACCTCTTAAGATTTCTCATTTTATCCTTGGATATAAAATTGTTTAAATATTTTATGTCATCAAACACACATATCATATAGGATTTCCATCCTTCAAGGAAGACGGGAGATATTTCACTTAAATTCATTCTGTATTACAGTTTCAAAATCACTTTGGATGAATTGATTTGATGAGTAGGTTGGGGCACTACTTTGACAGTGTCGTGTTTCAGCACTGAAAGAAAACATGAAAATAATTGTGGTCTCTTAAGGTAGTAACCCTGGATGAGATAGATTGACTCAGTGACTGGGGTAATGGGGGTATGTGTGTCAGAGACAATGAAATTGGCTGAAGATAGAGCAGAGTTCAGGGCTGTTGTACGTAGGGTCACAAGCAACTCGATGGCACATAACAACAACAAGGTAGTAAATATTTATGTACATACTTTCTTTTAGGTAGACATTTTCCATTAGTCAGAACCTTAACTTGTTCCACTAGTTATGAATCCAACAGATTATGTTCCATACAGGAAGAGAGCCTGAACCTTAGTCACTGGCTATAACTTTGTGGCAGAGGATAGGCTTTTGCCATGAAGGGCCGTTAAGAGGTCTTTGTGATTTCAGTGTATTTATTGTTTGAGGATAAGAGATTACTACATAAAGCTTATCATACCCCATAGGAGACACTAGCCTTTTTGGTTTGGATTTGTTTTTTTTTTTCTTTTATACTATTTTTTTATTGTGTTTAAATTCTCATATAAAATTGATCATTTTAAGTCCAGTGGCATTTAGTATATATTCACCATGGTATGCAACTACCACCTCTTATCTAGTGCCAAAATATTTTCTTCACCTCAACAGAAAACCCCATACTGGTAACCCCTCTCTCATTCCTGCTTGGCCTCTGGCAATCACCACTGTACATTTTCTGCCTCTAGAATCTTCTGGAACAATTCTAGACTTGTTCAGCATGTGACCTTTTGTATCTAGCTTCTTTTAGTCAGCATAGTGGTTTTTTACATTTACCAATATCTGTAGCTTTTT